TGTGTTTGAATTAAACACCGGGATTTGGGCAGAAATCCATGGAATTCTGGGGCTGGAGCCACTCCAGGGATGCCCTTTCCTGCCGTCATTCCCTGGAAAGTTTTGGAGCAGCTTTCCCAAGGAATATCCCAACTTTCCCCAAGGAATATCCCAACTTTTCCCAAGGAATATCCCAATTTTTCCCAAGGAATATCCCAATTTTTCCCAAGGAATATCCCAACTTTTCCCAAGGAATATCCCAATTTTTCCCAAGGATTGGGGGTCATTGATCACCTGGAATTTGGCGCTGGAGCCGCCCTTTCCTCCTTTCTGGAATGGCTCCCATGGAGTGTCCCGGGAATTCCCGGCCTGGGGGAATCTGGGATTTGGATCCATGGGATTTGTGGGATGAGGGAGAGGGGCAGGGCCGGGCTTGATCCCCAATCCCTGATCCCAATCCCTGATCCCAGAGATCCCAATCCCTATGGATTCCCCATCCAGGGATCCAAATCCCTGAATCCCAGAGATCCCAATCCCATGGATACCCCAAATCCCGTTTCCCGGAGATCCCAATCCCATGGATATCCCAAATCCCTGAATCCCAGAGGTCCAATCCCACGGATATCCCAAATCCTTGAATCCCTGAGATCCCAATCCCATGGATACCCCAAATCCCGTTTCCCAGAGATCCCAATCCCATGGATATCCCAAATCCTCTTCCCCCAAAATCCCAAATCCCATGGGTATCCCAAATCCTTGAATCCCAGAGATCCCAATCCCACGGATATCCCAAATCCCTGAATCCCATAGATCCTAGTTGCATGGATATCCCAGATCCCTGAATCCCAGAGATCCCAATCCCATGGATATCCCAAATCCCCTTTCCCTGAGATCCCAATCCCATGGATATCCCAAACCCTCTTCCCCCAAAATCCCAATCCCATGGATATCCCAAATCCCTGAGTCCCAGAGATCCCAATCTCGTGGATATCCCAATCCCGTGGATATCCCAATCCCGTGAATATCCCAATCCCACGGATATCGATCCCAAATCCCCGTTCCCACCCCGTGGGTCCATCCCAGCCGGGGCAGCTCCGGGGTTATCCCGGGTGAGCCGTTCCCGCAATTCCAGTTTTCCCGTATCCCGTAAAACCGGTTCCAGCCGGCCTGTCCCGGCCTGCCCCGGCATTCCCGGCTCCCTATAAATCCCGGACGGCCTTTTGGGGGAAAATCCCTTTTTTTCGGGATCCCGTTCCCATGGAAATGCTGGAAAATCCCTGAAATTCCCTGGAAGCGCTGCCGGGATAATTCCGTGAGTAGGGAATTCACCTGGGGGGGTTGAATCCTTTTTCCTTTCCTTCCAAGAGTTTTTTTTTGGGATTTTGGGGGTTTTTCCATCGGAATTTCGCAGGCTCGGGGCCCGTCCCAAAATTGCAATAAATTGAGAGACATCCCAAATTTATCCCAGTGAAATATCCCACAAATATCCCAGATTTTCCAAATGTAATCCAAATTATCCCAAATTGAATCCCACATTTATCCCAGCAAAATATCCCAAATTTATCCCAGTGAAATATCCCAAATTTTCCAAATTTATCCCAGTGAAATATCCCACAAATATCCCAGATTTTCCAAATGTAATCCCACATTTATCCCAGTGAAATATCCCAAATTTATCCCAGTGAAATATCCCACAAATATCCTTGATTTTCCAAATGTAATCCCAATTGTCCCAAATTGAATCCCACATTTATCCCAGCGAAATATCCCAAATTTATCCCGCTGAAATATCCCAAATTTACCAAATTTATCCCAGTGAAATATCCCACAAATATCCCAGATTTTCCAAATGTAATCCAAATTGTCCCAAATTGAATCCCACATTTATCCCAGCAAAATATCCCAAATTTATCCCAGTGAAATATCCCAAATTTTCCAAATTTAGTCCCAATTATCCCAAATTTATCCCAGCGAAATATTCCAAATTTATCCCAGTGAAATATCCTGAATTTATGTCAAATATCTCCAACTTAGCCTAGAGAAATATTCCAAATTTCTCCCAGAGAAATATCCCAAATTTTATCCCAATTATCCCAAATTTATCCCAGAGAAATATTCTGAATTTATCTCAGTGAAATATCCCAAATTTATCCCAAATTCCCAAGGCACCACAAATTCCCCTCCTTGCTACCCTGGAAATTTTCTCCTGGATAAAAAAAAATCTGGAATAAAAAAAAACCCCAAAAACATCTAGAATAAAGGGAATATTTCCATTTATTTCCTGGAAAATCCACTTTTTAATGTCTGCATTTCTTTTTGGAGTGGGAAAAACCTTTGGAATAAAAGCAGTAAATTGATTTCTTGGGGAATATTTGAAAAAGCTTTTGTTTCGGGGTAAAATATCCTTGGTTAAATATGATTTAATTTTTTGGGAAAAAAAATCCTTGGAATAAGTGAATTTAATTCTGGGGAGGAAAAAATCCTTGGCTAAATACACATTTATTTTTTGGGGGAACAAACCCTATGGAATCCAAGCATTTATTATTTATTATTTATTATTTATTATGTATTATGTATTATTTATTATTTATTATTTATTATTTATTATTTATTATTTATTATTTATTATTTATTATTTATGGGGGAAACACCCTATGGAATCCATAAATTTATTATTATTTTTTTGGGAACACACCCCATGGAATTAATATATTTATTAGTTATTATTTTGGGGGAACAAACTCCATGGAATCCAAGCATTTATTATTTATTGGGAACAAATCCCACTGAATAAATATATTTATTATTTATTATTTATTATTTATTATTTATTATTTATTATTTATTATTTATGGGGGAACACAGCCCATGGAATTAATATATTTATTAGTTATTATTTTTGGGGAACACACCCCATGGAATCCATACATTTATTATTTCTTTTTTTGGGGGGAAAAAACCCCATGGAATCCACACATTTATTATTTTTAGGGAACCCATACATTCATTATTTTTTGGGGAACAAACCTTTTGAAATCCATACATTTATTATTTATTATTTTTTTGGCACACACCCCATGGAATTAATATATTTATTAGTTATTATTTTTGGGGAACACACCCCATGGAATCCATACATTTATTATTTATTATTTTTTGGGGACACACCCCATGGAATTAATATATTTATTAGTTATTATTTTTGGGGAACAAACCTTTTGAAATCCATACGTTTATTATTTATTATTTTTTGGGGACACACCCCATGGGATCCATACATTTATTATGTTTTGGGGAACAAACCTTTTGGAATCTGTGCATTTTTTAACCCCCATGGAATCCATACATTTACTATTTTTAGGGAATCCATACATTTATTATTTTTTGGGGAACAAACCTTTTGGAATCCATACACTTATTTTTTGGGAAACAGACTCCATGGAATCCCTCCAATTATTATTATTATTATTATTTGGGAACAGACCCTATGGAATCACTACATTTATTAATTTTTGGGAACAAGTGGCATGGAATCCATACATTTACTATTTTTAGGGAATCCATACATTTATTATGTTTTGGGGAGCAAACCTTTTGGAATCCGTACATTTATTATTTATTATTTTTTATTTTTCGGGGACAAACCCCATGGAATCCCTGCGTTAACCCTACACCCACTTCTCCTCGTGGGGGGAAAAAAAAAAATTAAAAAAAACCAACCCATCCTGCGGGATGCTCCGGGATCTGCGGGAGCTGCGGGATGCTCTGGGATCCTCTGGGAAGCTGCGGGATGCTGCGGGAGCTGCGGGAGCTACTGGAGCTGCGGGATGCGAGAGGCTGCGGGATGCTGCGGGATATTCTGGGATGCTGCGGGATCCTATGGGAAGCTGTGGGATGCTCTGGGAAGCTGCGGGAGGCTGAAGGAGGCTGCGGGAGCTGCGGGACGTTCTGGGAAGCTGCGGGAGCTGCGGGATGCTCTGGGAAGCTGCGGGATGTTCTGGGAAGCTGCGGGATGCCGCGGGAGGCCGCGGGATGCTCTGGGAAGCTGCGGGATGCTGAGGGATCTGCAAGAGCTGCGGGATGCTCTGGGAAGCTGCGGGGATGCTGCGGAAATCTGCGGGATTTGGGATCTGGGAAGCTGCAGGATGCTCTGGGAAGCTGCGGGAGCTGTGGGAGCTACAGGAGCTACAGGAGCTGCGGGATGCGAGAGGCTGCGGGATGTTCTGGGAAGCTGCGGGATGCTGAGGGAGCTGCGGGAAGCTCTGGGAAGCTGCGGGAAGCTGAGGGAGGCTGCGGGAGCTGGGGGAGCTACAGGAGCTGTGGGATGCGAGAGGCTGCGGGATGTTCTGGGAAGCTGCGGGAACCTGTGGGATGCTTTGGGAAGCTGCGGGAGGCTGAAGGAGGCTGCGGGATGCTGAAGGAAGCTGCGGGATGCTCTGGGATTCTAAAGGAGGCTGCGGGATGTTCTGGGATGCTGCGGGATGTTCTGGGAAGCTGCGGAAGCTGCGGGATGTTCTGGGAAGCTGCGGGATCCTACGGGAAGCTGCGGGAGGCTGCGGGATGCTCCGGGATGCTCTGGGAAGCTGCGGGAAGCTGAAGGAGGCTGCGGGAGGCTGCGGGAGCTACAGGAGCTGCGGGATGCTGAAGGATGCTGCGGGATGTTCTCGGAAGCTGCGGGAGCTGTGGGATGCTCTGGGAAGCTGCGGGATGCTCAGGGAAGCTGCGGGAGGCGGTGGGAGCTGCGGGATACTGAGGGAGCTGCGGGATGCTCTGGGAAGCTGCGGGATCCTACGGGAAGCTGTGGGATGCTCTGGGAAGCTGCGGGAGGCTGAAGGAGGGTGCGGGAGCTGCGGGAGCTACAGGAGCTGCGGGATGCTGAGGGAAGCTGCGGGATGTTCTGGGAAGCTGTGGGATGTTCTGGGAAGCTGCGGGATGCTGAAGGAGGCTGCGGGATGCTCTGGGATGTTCTGGGAAGCTGCGGGGATGCTGCGGAAATCTGCGGGATGCTGAGGGATGCTGAGGGAAGCTGCGGGAGGCGGCGGCTGGCGGGGCCGGCCCGGACTCCTCCAGCCCTAAAGATGGAGCTGCTCGGCTCCGGGGCCGCTCCCTCGCGGCCGCCGCGATCCGGGCTCGTCTCCCTTTCCCCTTTTCCTGCCCATCCATGTGGTTCTGTTTTGTATTGTCCCGCTCGCCCGCACTCCCGCAGCCGGGGGATTCGGTGGGTGGGATTTCAGGAGGGGAAAAAGGGGAAAAGAGAAAAGGGGGGACAGAGGGAAAAAAAAAAAAAAGAAAAAAAAAAACAACCGAGGAGGAGGAGGAGGAGGGAAAAAAGCGAGAAAAAAACACCCCAAAATTACCTTTTTTTTTTTTTTTTTTTTTCTTTTTCCTGCAACAGGAACCGCCACCAAAAATAGTGCAAAGGCCCCGCGCCGCCGCTTTCTTTATGCTGCACCTCTCGCCCTAAAATCAGGTTTGGAATTGGGGGGGCTGAAAAAAGTGGGATTTGGGGGGAGGGGGAAAGGGATTTGGGGAGGGACGGGGGGGCGGAAAAATGGTTTAAAAAAAAAAAAAAAGGGAAAAAAAAAAAAAGGCGGATCCACGTGGTGCGAGGGGGGCAGACAGAGATCCCATTGTTCCAGGGAAATCTGGGAATGGGAATGCGGGGGGGGCGGGGGGATGGGCACCGGGGAGACCCCCGGGTGGGGTCCTGTCCCCTCCCCAACCCACAGAATCGCCCCCACCCCAAAATCCAGCGGCAGCGCCCCGAGAGCGGCGGGGCTTTGGGGTTTTGGGGGTTCTGGGTGATTTGGGGAGCGGATAAAGGAGGGGAGACCCCAAAACCCCCCCGGTGCTCCCTTTGCCTTTTGTCTCCGGGCACTTTTCCTGCCCCGGACCCCCTTTGGGAACCCCCCGGTACCCCAAAATCCCGGATCCTTCCGTGCAGCCCCAAATCTTCCCGAGACCCCCCGTGTGCCCCCCTTTGCACCCCCCAGGCCCCCCTTTTCCAAATTGCACCCCCCTTTGAACCCCCCTTTGAACCCCCCTTTTCCAGCCCGGGGGTCTCCTCTCTCCCCACCCCCTGTGCCCCAAATCCCCCCCAAATCCCCTCACTGGGGGTCACCCATGTGCCCTTGTCCCATGTCCCCCCAAATCCCCCCCATTTCCCCATCCTGTGTCCCCAAATCCCATTTGTCCCATCCCGTGTCCCCCAAATCCCTCCCCTTTTCCCTATCCCGTGTCCCCCAAAACCCCTGAAATCCCCTCACTGGGGGTCACCCATGTCCCCCCAAATCCCCCCATGTCCCCAAGCTGGGGGTCACCCTTGTCCCCATGTCCCCGAGCTGGGGGTCACCCTTGTCCCCACATCCCCACATCCCCCAAGTTTTCCCACACCGGGGTCCCCCTGTGTACCTCTCTCTGTCCCCCCATATCGCCCCCACAGAGGGTCCCCCAATTCTCCTCCATGTCCCCACACTGTCCCTGTCACCAGGGGGGTCCCACCTCTTATCCCCCCGTGGCCACCTCCGTGGGTCCCCCTTTTGCCCCATCCTGTGTCCCCATATCCCCCATTTCCCCCTCTGTCTGCATTTCCCCTCACTGTGTCCCCATATCCCCCATTTCCCCCTCTGTCCCCATCTCCCCTCACTGTGTCCCCTCACTCCACACCCCCCATGTCCCCTCACCCCATTTTCCCCACACTGTGTCCCCATCTGTCCCCATCTCCCCTCACTGTGTCCCCATCTCCCCTCACTGTCCCTTCACCCCACATCCCCCATTTCCCCTCACCCCATTTCCCCCATCTCCCCTCACTGTGTCCCCATTTCCCCTCACTCCACATCCATTTCCCCTCTGTCCCCATTTCGACTCACCCCATTTCCCCTCACTGTGTCCCCCTCTGTCCCCATCTCCCCTCACTGTGTCCCACTCACCCATTTCCCCCATCTCCCTACACTGTGTCCCCATCTGTCCCCATTTCCCCTCACCCATTTCCCCCATCTCCCCACACTGTGTCCCCATCTGTCTCCATTTCCCCTCACTGTGTCCCCTTACCCCACACCCCCCATTTCCCCTCACCCCCTTTCCCCCATCTCCCCTCACTGTGTCCCCATTTCCCCTCACTGTGTCCCCATCTGTCCCCATCTCCCCTCATTGTGTCCCCCTCACCCATTTCCCCCATATCCCCTCACTGTGTCCCCATCTGTCCCCATTTCCCCTCACTGTGTCCCCCTCTGTCTCCATCTCCCCTCACTGTGTCCCCTCACCCCATACCCCCCATCTCCCCTTACTGTGTCCCCATCTGTCCCCATTTCCCCTCACTGTGTCCCCATCTCCCCTCACTGTCCCCTCACCCCACATCCCCCATTTCCCCTCTGTCCCCATCTCCTCTCACTGTGTCCCCCTCACGCCGTGTCCCCATCTCCCCTCACCGCGCGTCCCGCTGTCTGTGTGTGTCTGTGTGTGTCTGTGTGTGTCTGTGTGTGTCTGTGTGTGTCTGTGTGTCTGTGTCTGTCTGTGGGTGTCCCTCCGTCGGTCTGTGTGTCTGTGTACCGGCCCGTTGGCTGACGCGGCCCCGCAGCCATGCCCCGCAGGAAGGCGGCGGGGCCGCCCTGGGACGCCGCGGGCCCGGTGGCTCAGGGCTCGGGGCGGCGGCGGCCGGGCCCTCAGGGCTCAGGGCGGCGGCGGCCCCGGCCCGGCGGCGGCGGCAGCAGCGGCGGCAGCAGCGAGGAGGAGGCGCCCCGGGAGCGGCGGCCGCGGGACGGCAGCCCCGGGGCCCGCAGGCCCGGCAGGCCCGGCGGGGCGGCGGCGGCGGCGGCGGCGGCGGCGGGGCCCGGAGGCCCCCGCGGGCAGAGCGTGGTGATCTGCGAGCCCGAGCACAGCAAGGAGCGCATCGTGAGTGCGGGGAGCGGGCCCGGGGCGCTGCGGGACCCCCGGGCCCCATTGCACACCCCTGTGCCCCACTGCACACCGCCCAGTGCCCCCATTGTGCCCCATTGCACACCCGCCGTGCCCCATGGCACAACCCCCGTGCCCCACTGTGCCCCATTGCACAGCCCCCGTGCCCCATGGCACACCTCCGTGCCCCATTGCACACCTGCCGTGCCCCATGGGACACCCCCAAGCCCCGTGGGACACCCCCCCAAGCCCCACTGTGCCCCATTGCACACTCCCCGTGCCCCGTGGGACACCCGCCGTGCCCCATGGCACACCCCCCGTGCCCCACTGCACACCCCCCGTGCCCCATGGGACACCCCCCGTGCCCCATTGCACACCCCTGTGCCCCACTGCACACTGCCCAGTGCCCCCATTGTGTCCCATTGCACACTCCCCATGCCCCATGGGACACCCCCCGTGCCCCACCGGGCCCCATTGCACACCCGCCGTGCCCCTGAGACACCCCCCGTGCCCCGTGGGACATCCCCCCGTGCCCCACTGTGCTCCATTGCACACCCCCTGTGCCCCATTGCACACCTCCGTGTCCCGTGAGACGCCCCCTGAGCCCCATTGCACACCCCCCGTGCCCCATTGCACACCCCCAGGACACCTCCCGTGGCCCATTGCACACCTCCGTGCCCCTGAGACACCCCCGTGCCCCATTGCACACCTCCGTGCCCCACTGTGCCCCATTGCACACCTCCGTGCCCCGTGGGACACTCCCCGTGCCCCACTGTGCCCCATTGCACACTCCCCGTGCCCTGTGGGACACCCGCCGTGCCCCATTGCACACTCCCCATGCCCCTGAGACACCCCCTGAGCCCCGTGGGACACCCCCCGTGCCCCATTGCACACCCCCCGTGCCCCATTGCACACCCCCCGTGCCCCACTGCACACCCCCCGTGCCCCACTGCACACCCCCCGTGCCCCGTGGGACACTCCCCAAGCTCCACTGTGCCCCATTGCACACCCCCTGAACCCCACTGTGCCCCACTGCACACCCCTGTGCCCCATTGCACACCCCACGTGCCCCATTGCACACCCCACGTGCCCCATGAGACACTCGCCGTGCCCCATAGCACACCCCCCGTGCCCCATTGCACACCCCCCGTGCCCCATTGCGCAGCCCCTGTGCCCCATTGCACACCCCCGTGACCCATGGGACACCCCCCGTGCCCCGTGAGACACCTGCCGTGCCCCATTGCACACCCCCCGTGCCCCACTGAGCCCCATTGCACACCCCCACTGTGCCCCACTGCACATCCCACGTGCCCCGTTGCACACCCCCCGTGCCCCATTGCACACCCCCTGAACCCCACTGTGCCCCACTGCACACGCCCCAGTGCCCCATTGTGCCCCACTGCACACCGCCCACTGTCCCCATTGTGCCCCACTGCACACCCCATTGTGCCCCATGAGACACCCCCCATGCCCCCATTGTGCCCCACTGCACACCCCCCAGTGCCCCCATTGTGTCCCCAAAGTACCCTGATGTCCCCCATGTCCCCAGTGCCCCCCATGTCCCTGATGTCCCCAGTGCCCCCCATGTCCCCATGTCCCTGATGTTCCCAAAGTACCCTGATATCCCCATGTCCCCAGTGCCCCCTGATATCCCAATGTCCCCAGTACCCCCCATGTCCCCAGTGCCCCCATGTCCCTGATATCCCCAGGTCCCCAGTGCCCCCCATGTCCCCAAAACCCCCAATGTCCCCAATGCCCCCCATGTCCCTGATGTCCCCAATGTCCCCAGTGCCCCCCATGTCCCTGATGTCCCCAATGCCCCCATGTCCCTGATATCCCCATGTCCCCAGTGCCCCCATGTCCCCAGTGCCCCCCATGTCTCTGATATCCCCATGTCCCCAGTGCCCCCATGTCCCCAGTGCCCCCCATGTCCCCAATGTCCCCTGATGTCCCCACAGAAGCTCGAGGGCTCCAAGAGCCGGGGGCAGCTCCTGATCTTCGGTGCCACCAACTGGGACCTGATCGGCCGCAAGGAGGTGCCCAAGCAGCAGGGTAGGGCTACTAATTAACGGCTGTTAATTACTCATTAATGCATGCGTGGGGCCCATTAATGGCTCATTAATTAATTGGTATTAGTAATTAATGAATGGTTTGGGGCAGGGTAGGGGCTCATTAATGGCTGTGATTAAATGCTATTAATTAGTAGCCAATGAACAGTTTGGGGTAGGGTAGGGACTCATTAATGGCTGATTAATTTGGGTTAATTAGTAGTCAATGTTTTGGGGCCCATTAATGGCTCATTAATTAATTGGTATTAGTAATTAATGAATGGTTTGGGGCAGGGTAGGGGCTCATTAATGGCTGTGATTAAATCCTATTAATTAGTAACCAATGAACAGTCAGGGGTAGGGTAGGGGCTCATTAATGGCTGATTAATTTGGGTTAATTAGTAGTCAGTTATTTGGGGCCCATTAATGGCTCATTAATTAATTGGTATTAATTAGTAATTAATGAATGGTTTGGGGCAGGGTAGGGGCTCATTAATGGCTGTGATTAAATGCTATTAATTAGTAACCAATGAACAGTTTGGGGTAGGGTAGGGGCTCATTAATGGCTGATTAATTTGGGTTAATTAGTAGTCAATGTTTTGGGGCCCATTAATTAATTGGTATTAATTAGTAATTAATGAATGGTTTGGGGCAGGGTAGGGGCTCATTAATGGCTATGATTAAATGCTATTAATTAGTAACCAATGAACAGTTAGGGGTAGGGTAGGGGCTCATTAATGGCTGATTAATTTGGATTAATTAGTAGTCAGTGTTTTGGGGCAGGGTAGGGCTGTGTTAATGGCTGGGATTAATTGGTATTAATTTGAGGTTAATTAGTAATAAGTGTTTTGGGGCAGGGTAGAGGTGATTAATTAATTGGTATTAGTAATTAATGAATGGTTTGGGACAAGGTAGGGGCTTGTTAATAGCTGTGATTAATTGGTATTAATTAGTAATCAGTGTATGTTTTGGGACAGGATAGGGGCTCATTAATAGCTGTGATTAATTGGTATTAATTAGTAATCAGTGTATGTTTTGGGGCAGGATAAGGGCCCTCATTAGCGGGTGATTATTGCTATTAATTACAGATGGGGGCAGAGCAGGGCCCTCATTAATGGCGGTGCGATTAATTGGTGTTAATTTGTAATTAATGACCTCGAGTGGCCAGAATTTGGGTCTCCAGCAGAGCCCAAAGCTCAGGGCTTGCCTTGGACTTAATGGGTTTGTAGTTTATTAATTTCCTGTTTGTTTTATATGCTTCTAGTTAATTAATTAATTAATTAGAGACGGAGGCACAGCTTTATCGCCCAATTTGGGGTGCGCTGGCTCTCCAGCAGAGCCAAATTAGGGCTTTGTTTATTTCTGATCTATTTATAGTTTGTTAATTTTGCTGATTGTTGTTATGTAGTTCTAACTAATTAATTAATTACCTGGGGGAGGAGCCAGAGGTTCACCCCTTAATTGGGACAGGTTTGAGGGGCGCCAGCTCTGCTGCGAAGCCAAATTAAGATTTTGCTCATTTTGGATGCATTTCTAGTTCCTTTTTATTTCTCCTTATTTCATCTAGTTATAATTAATAAATTATTATTATATGTATCATTATATAATGATACTATATAATTAATAATATATACTTAATTGCCAATATAATAATATTATTATATAATAAGAAAAATTATTATTATTATTATTATTATTATTATTATTATTATTATTATTATTATTATTATTATTATTATTTGTTATTATTATTTTTATTTTTCTTATTTCATCTAGTTATAATTAATAAATTAATTAACTGAGGGAGGAGCCAGAGGTTCACCCCTTAATTAGGGCAGGTTTGAAGGGCGCCAGCTCTGCTGCGAAGCCAAATTAAGATTTTGCTCATTTTGGATGCATTTCTAGTTCCTTTTTATTTCTCCTTATTTCATCTAGTTATAATTAATAAATTATTATTATATGTATCATTATATAATGATAATTTAAAATTAATAATATATAACTGCTAATATAATAATATAATTATATAATAATAAAATTTTCTATTATTATATAGTATTATTATTATTTACAATATTATATAAGTTGTTATTATTATTTTTATTTTTCTCATTTCACCTAGTTATAATTAATAAATTATTATTATATGTATCATTATATAATCATGATATATAATTAGTAATATATATAATTGCTAATATAATAATATAATTATATAATAGAAATTTATATTTGATATAATAATAATATAATAATATTATTATTTAAATTATTATATAAATTGTTATAATTTTTTTTATTTTTCTTATTTCATCTAGTTATAATTAGTAAATTAATTAACTGGGGGAGGAGCCAGAGGTTCACCCCTTAATTGGGGCAGATCTGAGGGGCACCAGCTCTGCTGCAAAGCCAAATTAAGCCCCTGCTTCGTTTTCAATTAATCAAAAATTAATTCATTAATCATCTCCTTCTTCTATGGGATATACTTAACTTGTCTGCTCCCGGTGGAACAGCTTCGTTAATTAATATTTCCTTAATTGGGGCAGCAGGCAGGGCTGGCCACGCTCACCGGGGCAGGTGTGAGGTTCCCGTTATTTTCCTGCCATTCCCTGATTTCCCAGATGATTTTCCCAGATCGTTTTCCCTGATGATTTTCCTGATATTCCTTGTTTTCCCAGATGATTTTCTGGGATGATTTTCCTGGATATTCCACAGTGATTTTCCTAGATTTTCCCAGATGATTTTCCTAGTTGATTTTCTTGCATTTTACTGGATTGTTTTCCTGAAGTTTCCTGGATTTTCCCGGATCATTTTCCCAGAAGATTTTCCTGGTTTATTTTCCTGGATGATTTTCCCAGTATTCCCAGAAGATTTTCCCAGATTTTCCTATATTATTTTCCTGGATTTTCTGGGATGATTTTTTCTGGATAATTTTCCTGGATTTTCCCAGGTGATTTTCATGGGTGATTTTCCTGGATTTTCTCGGGTGCTTTTCCTGAATTTTCCTGTATTATTTTCCCAATATTCCCTGATGATTTTCCTGGCTGATTTTTCCAGATGATTTTGATGTTCCCAGATGATCTGACTGTCATTTCCCGGATTATTTTCCTGAATTTTCCTAGATTTTCCCAGATTATTTTCCTGTATTTTCCCGGATTATTTTCCTGAATTTTCCCGGATTTTCCCAGATTATTTTCCTGTCTGATTTTCCCAGATTATTTTGATTTTCCTAGATGATTTGCCTGTCATTTCCCAGATTATTTTCCTGAATTTTCCTGGATTTTCCCAGATTATTTTCTTAGATTTTCCCATATTATTTTCCTTTATTTTCCCGGAATATTTTCCTGAATTTTCCTGAATTTCCCCAGATTATTTTCCCGGTATTCCCAGGTGATTTTCCTGGAAGATTTTCCTGCCTGATTTTCCCAGTTTATTTTCCTGTATTATTTTCCTGAATTTCCCCAGATGATTTTCCTGGATTTTCCCTGATTATTTTCCCAGTATTCCCAGATGATTTTCCTGGCTGATTTTCCTGGACGATTGTGATTTTCCCAGATGATTTGCCTGTATTTTCCTGGATTATTTTCCTGAATTTTCCTAGATTTTCCCAGATTATTTTCCTAGATTTTCCCAGATTATTTTCCTGTATTTTCCTGGATTATTTTCTGAATTTTCCTGGATTTCCCCAGTTTATTTTATCGGTATTCCCAGGTGATTTTCCTGGAAGATTTTTCTGGCTGATTTTCCCAGTTTATTTTCCTGTATTATTTTCCTGGATTTCCCCAGATGATTTTCCTGGATTTTCCCAGATTATTTTCCTAGATTTTCCCAGATTGTTTTCCTGTATTTTCCGAAATTATTTTCTGAATTTTCCCAGAATATTTTCCCAGTATTCCCAGATTATTTTCCTGGCCGATTTTTCCCAGATGATTTTGATTTTCCTAGATAATTTGCCTGTCATTTCCCGAATTATTTTCCTGAATTTTCCTGCATTTCCCAAGATTATTTTCCCGGTATTCCCAGGTGATTTTCCTGGAAGATTTTCCTGGTTGATTTTCCCAGATGATTTTGATTTTCCCAGATGATTTGCCTGTCATTTCCTGGATTATTTTCCTGGATTTTCCCAGATTATTTTCCCAGTATTCCCAGATGATTTTCCTGGCTAATTTTCCCAGATGATTTTGATTTTCCCACTTTATTTTCCTGAATTTTCCCAGATTTTCCCAGATTATTTTCCTGGATTTTCCCAGATTATTTTCCTGGTTGCTTTTCCCAGATGATTTTGATTTTCCTAGATGATTTGCCTGTCATTTCCTGGATTATTTTCCTGAATTTTCCCAGACTATTTTCCTGTATTTTCCCTGATTATTTTCCTAAATTTTCCCGTATTTCCCCAGATTATTTTCCCGGTATCCCCAGACCATTTTCCTGACAGATTTCCCGGGCTGATTTTCCAGTGTTCCCCAGACTATTTTCCCGGCCGCTTTTCCCTGCCCGTTGTTTTCCCGGCGCTCATTCCCGGTGTTTTCCAGCGGCGTACCGGAACCTGGGCCAGAACCTGTGGGGGCCGCACCGCTACGGCAGCCTGGGGACGCTGCGCGTGCGCTCGGTGGTGTCGGGGCCCTGCGCCGCGCACAGCCTGCTCATCACCGCCGAGGGCCGCCTCTGGAGCTGGGGTCAGCCGCCAGAGCGGGATCCGTCCGGGAACAGGGCTGGGAGAGCGGGATCCGTCTGGGAACACGGCTGGGAGAGCGGGATCTGTCCTGGGAACCTCCTGTGGGATCCGTCCCGGGAACCCGGCTGGGAGAGCGGGATCTGTCCCGGGAATCTGGCTGGGAGAGGGGGATCTGTGCTGGGAGCCTCCTGTGGGAGAGTGGGATCTGTGCTGGGAACCTCCCATGGGAGAGTGGGATCCGTCCCGGGAACCCGGTTGGGAGAGCGGGATCTGTCCCGGGAACACGGCTGGGAGAGCGGGATCTGTCCCGGGAATCTGGCTGGGAGAGCGGGATCCATCCCGGGAACACGGCTGGGAGAGCGGGATCCGTCCCGGGAACCCAGCTGGGAGAGTGGGATCCGTGCTGGGAACCCGGCTGGGAGAGTGGGATCTGTCCTGGGAACCCAGCTGGGAGAGCGGGATCTGTCCTGGGAACCTCCCGTGGGATCCATCCTGGAAACCCAACTTGGAGAGCAGGATCTGTCCTGGGAACTGGGCTGGGATAGAGGGATCCACCCTGGGAACCTCCCCTGGGAGAGGGGGATCTGTCCTGGGAACCCAACTGGGAGAGTGGGATCTGTCCCAGGAACCCGGCTGGGAGAGCGGGATCCGTCCGGGAACCCGGCTGGGAGAGCGGGATCTGTGCTGGGAATCTCCTGTGGGAGAGGGGGATCTGTCCTGGGAACCTCCCGTGGGATCCATCCTGGAAACCCAACTTGGAGAGCAGGATCTGTCTTGGGAACTGGGCTGGGATAGAGGGATCCACCCTGGGAACCTCCCCTGGGATAGTGGGATTTGTCCTGGGAACCCAACTGGGATAGTGGGATCTGTCTTGGGAACCCAACTGGGAGAGTGGGATCTGTCTTGGGAACCTCCTGTGGGAGAGCGGGATCCGTCCTGGGAACCCAACTGGGATCCATCCCTGGAACCCCCAGGAGAGCAGGAGCCGTCCTGGGAACCCTGGGATCCATCCCTTAAACCCCCTGGGATAACGGGATCTGTCCTGGGAACCAAACTGGGATCCATCCTGGGAACTGGGCTGGGATAGTGGGATCTGTCCTGGGAACTTCCCCTGGGAGAGGGGGATCCATCCCGGGAAGCCCCCTGGGATAGCGGGATAAGCCTGGGACCCCAACTAGGAGAGCGGGATCCATCCCGGGAACCAAACTGGGGTAATGGGATCCATCCTGGGAGCGTTCCTCAGATAACGGCATCAGCGGGAACCCCTGGGAGAGCAGGATCAGAGGGAACTCCCGGGCTAATGGGATCGGAGGGCACCCTTGGGATAACGGGATCAGCGGGACCCCCATGGATAGCGGGATCAGCAGGATCCCCATGGATACAGGATCAGCCATGAACCCCATGGATAGCGAGATCAGAGGGACCCCCATGGATAATGGGATCAGCAGGACCCCTGTAGATAATGGAATCAGCGGGATCCCCATGGCTAACGGGATCAGCGGGACCCCATGGATAGCGGGAGCAGCGGGATCCCTGTGGATAACGCGAGCAGCGGGACCCCCGTGGATAACGGGAATAGCGGGACCCCCGTGGCTGGCGGGATCCCCATGGATAACGGGAACAGTGGGACCCCCATGGATAGCAGGAACAGCGGGATCCCTGTGGCTGGTGGGATCCCCGTGGATAACGGGATCAGCGGGATCCCCGTGGATAACGGGATCAGTGGGATCCCCGTGGATAACGGGATCAGCGGGATCTCCGTGGATACGGGATCAGTGGGACCCCCATGGATGCGGGATCAGCGGGATCCCCATGGATAGTGGGATCAGCGGGATCCCCATGGATAGTGGGATCAGCGGGATCCCCATGGATAGTGGGATCAGCGGGATCCCGGTGGATAACGGCTGCGGGGCTCCCGGCAGGGCGGAACGAGAAGGGGCAGCTGGGCCACGGCGACACGAAGCGCGTGGAGGCGCCGCGGCCGATCGAGGCCCTGAGCAGCGAGGCCATCGTGGCGGCCGCCTGCGGCAGGAACCACACCCTGGCGCTGACCGGTGCGCAGAGACGGACACGGGGTGGACACCGGGATGGAGCGGGACACCGGGATGGGACACGGGGATGGAGCCGGGACATGGGGATGGAGCCGGGACATGGGGTTGGAGCTGGACACGGGGATGGAGACGGGAAATGGGGATGGAGCGGGACACCGGGATGGACACGGGGATGGACCGGGACACGGGGATGGACCGGGACACCGGGATAGACACGGGGATGGACCGGGACACCGGGATGGAGCCGGGAAATGGGGATGGAGCGGGACACGGGGATGGAGCCTGGGACACCGGGCTGGGGCCTGGGAAATGGGGCCTGGAGCCTGGGAAATGGGGCAGATCCATGGAAATGGGGCTGGATCCTGGGACACAGCTGGATCCTGAGGCACGGGGCCGATCCCAAGACACAGCCAGAGCCCAGGAAATGGGGCTCGATCCCAGGAAATTTGGGGGTGGATCCCGGGAAATGGATCTGGATCCCGGGAAATGGGGCTGGATCCCGGGAAATGGGGCTGGATCCCGGGAAATGGAGCTGGATCCCGGGAAATGGGGCTGGATCCTGGGAAATGGAGCTGGATCCCGGGAAATGGGGCTGGATCCCGGGAAGCTGCACAAAATCCCGGAAAAATGCACCAAATCCAACCCTTTTCCCCAAAATCCATCCGTTGCCCCAAAATCCCAGGAAAAGAGCCCCAGATCTGTCCCTTTTGCCCCAAATTCTGGGAGAATGGTCCCAAAATCCCAGTTTTTCCCCCCAAAATTCCCATTTTTCCCCCAGAGAGCGGCTCCGTGTTCGCCTTCGGGGAGAACAAGCTGGGCCAGCTGGGGCTGGGGAACCAGACGGACGCCGTGCCCAGCCCCACCCAGGTATGGACCCCAGAATTTGGGGGAAATCCGAGGATTTTGGGGCTTCTAGTGACGTATCCCCTAAAAACCCCTCGGGGTGCACGATTCCCTCTCAGCCAGTTCCCAGCTGAGGTGGGGAGAGGAAAAGCCAGGATTTGGAAATTGAATTTTTAAGGAATTTTAGGGATTTTCTGATGCAAATTCCTTTTTTTTTTTTTTCCCCCCCGTTTCCCAAATTTTTTGATCCTGTTTTTACAGCTTTTCGTGCAGGTCAGGGATTTCCTGTGGAAAATTCCTCTTTTTTCCTTTTTCCCGTGTTTTCTGATCCAGTTTTTCTGCTTTTCCCACAGATCCCATTGAAATTTCCCATTTTTCCCTTTTCCTGTGTTTTTAAATCTCATTTTTCCTATCCTGTTTTTCCAGCTTTTGCCACAGATCAGAGATTTCCCCCAGAAATTCACCTTTTTACCCTTTTCTTGCATTTCTGATCCAGTTCTTCACTTTTTTTCTGCATTTTACATGTTTTCCAATCCCATATTCCCTACATTTCCCACAGATCAAGGATATCCCATGGAAATATCCCTTTTTTTCCTTTTTCCTGATTTTTTTTCAATCCAAATTTTCCTGCTTTTCCCACAGATCAGGGATTTCCTCTGGAATTTCCCCTTTTTTTCTTTTCCTGCTTTTTCCGTGTTTTTCTCATCCCTTTTTATCTGCTCTTCCCCTGTTCTTGATCCTATTTTTCCTGCCAGTCAGGGATTTCCCATGGAAATTCCCCATTTTTCCCTTTTTCCATGTCTTTCTGATCCCATTTTTCCTGCTTTTCCTGTGTTTCTGACCCCCATTTTTCCTGGTTTTTCTAATCCCGTTTTCCTGGCTTTTCCCATATTTCTGATCCCCATTTTCCCCTTTTCCCTGGCTTTTCTGATCCCATTTTTCCAGCTTTTCTTGTGCTTCTGATCCCCATTTTTCCTGGCTTTTCCTGTGTTTCCGACCCCCATTTTTCCCATTTTTTCTAATTCCATTTTTTCTAATCCCATTTTCCCACCTTTTCCCATATTTCTGATCTCATTTTCCCAGCTTTTCTTGTGTTTCTGATCCCCATTTTCCCATTTTTTTCTAATCTAATATTCCCAGCTTTTCCTGTGTTTCTGATCCCCATTTCCCCCTTTTTCCTGGCTTTTCTGATCCCATTTTCCCAGCTTTTCCTTGTTTCTGATCCCCATTTTTTCTGGCTTTTCTGGTCCCATTTTTCCAGCTTTTCCTGTGTTTCTGACCCCCATTTTTTCTAATCCTATTTTCCTGGTTTTCCCCATATTTCTGATCCCCATTTTTGCCTTTTCCCTGGCTTTTCTGGTCCCATTTTTCCAGCTTTTCTTGTGTTTCTGACCCCCATTTTTCCCATTTTTTCTTATCCCGTTTTCCTGGCTTTTCCCATATTTCTGATCCCATTTTCCCCTTTTCCCTGGCACTTCTGTTCCCATTTTCCCAGCTTTTCCTTGTTTCTGATCCCTATTTTTCCCATTTTTTCTAATCCCATTTTTCCAGCTTTTCCCATATTTCTGATCCCCATTTTCCCCTTTTCCCTGGCTTTTCTGGTCCCATTTTTCCAGCTTTACTTGTGTTTCTGATCCCCATTTTTCCTGGCTTTTCTGATCCCATTTTTCCTGGCTTTTCTGATCCCATTTTTCCTGGCTTTTCTGATTCAATTTTCCTGGCTTTTCCCATATTTCTGATCCCCATTTTCCCCTTTTCCCTGGCTTTTCTGATCCATTTTTCTGGCTTTTCCTGTGTTTCTGACCCCCGTTTTTCCCCTTCTCCTGCATTTCTGATCCCCTTTGCCCACTATTCCCGGATTTCCTGACCCCATTCCCGTTTTTTCCCAGATCCTGTACAATGGGCAGCCGATCTCCAAGCTGGGCTGTGGGGCCGAGTTCAGCATGGTCATGGACTGCAAGGGGAACCTGTATTCCTTCGGGTGTCCCGAGTACGGCCAGCTGGGTACGGGATTTGGGATTTATGGGATCACCCCATGGGATCACCCCATGGGAACCTGTATTCCTTCGGGTGCCCCGAGTATGGACAGCTGGGTACGGGATTTGGGATCGTCCCATGGGATATTGGCTGGTTTGGGATGATCCCACGGGATGGAAGCAGTTTGGGATCCCCCTGTGGGATCGGGGCAGTTTGGGATCACCCTGAAGGGTGGTTCGGGATGACCCCACAGGATCGGGGTGGTTGGGGATGACCCCACAGGATTGGGGCAGTTTGGGATCACCATGTACGATTGGAGTTGTTCGGGATGACCCCACAGGGTGGGGCAGTTCGGGATGACCCCACAGGATCGGGGTAGTCCCAGATAGACCCACAGGATCGGGGCGGTTGGGGATGACCCCGCAGGATTGGGGTGTTTTGGGATCACCCTGCAGGATGGGGCAGTTCTGGATGACCCCACAGGATCAGGATGGTTGGGGATGACCCCATGGGATGGAGCAGTTTGGGATCACCCTGCAGGATGAGGCAGTTTGGGATAACCCCGCTGGATCGGGGCGGTTGGGGATGACCCCACAGGATTGGGGCATTTTGGGATCACCATGTAGGATTGGAGTAGTTCGGGATGACCCCACAGGATCAGGGTGGTTCGGGATGACCCCACAGGATCGGGGCAGTTCGGGATGACCCTGTAGGATTGGGGCAGTTCCAGATAACCCCACAGGATTGGGGCAGTTTGGGATCACCCTGTAGGATTGGAGTGATTTGGGATGACCCCAACGGATCGGGGTGGTTGGGGATGACCCTGCAGGATCAGGGCAGGTTAGGATCACCCCACAGGATGAGGCAGTTTGGGATAACCCCGCTGGATTGGGGCAGTTCAGGATGACCCCACAGGATCGGGGCAGTCCCAGCTGACCCCGCAGGGCGCTCAGGCTGGCCGTGCCGCTCCCGTTGCAGGCCACAATTCCGACGGGAAGTTCATCGCGCGGGCGCAGCGCATCGAGTACGACTGCGAGCTGCTGCCGCGGCGCGTGGCGCTCTTCGTGGAGCGCACCAAGGACGGGCAGGTGCTGCCCGTGCCCAACGTCGTGGTCAGGGACGTGGCCTGCGGGGCCAACCACACGGTACGGGAACGTGGGAATGGGATAACGGGAATGGGTCAGGGACGTGGCCTGCGGGGCCAACCACACGGTACGGGAATGTGGGAATGGGATAACGGGAATGGGTCAGGGACGTGGCCTGCGGGGCCAACCACACGGTACGGGAATGCGGGATAACGGGATAATGGGAATAACGGGAATGGGTCAGGGACGTGGCCTGCGGGGCCAACCACACGGTACGGGAACGTGGGAATGGGATAACGGGAATGGGTCAGGGACGTGGCCTGCGGGGCCAACCACACGGTACGGGAATGTGGGAATGGGATAACGGGAATGGGTCAGGGACGTGGCCTGCGGGGCCAACCACACGGTACGGGAATGCGGGATAACGGGATAATGGGAATAACGGGAATGGGTCAGGGACGTGGCCTGCGGGGCCAACCACACGGTACGGGAACGTGGGAATGGGATTGGGATAATGGGAATGGGTCAAGGACATGGCCTGCGGGGCCAACCACACGGTACAGGAACGTGGGAACGGGATTGGGATAATGGGAATAACGGGAATGGGTCAGGGACGTGGCCTGCGGGGCCAACCACACGGTACGGGAATGTGGGATAACGGGAATAACGGGAATGGGTCAGGGACGTGGAATGCGGGGCCAACCACACGGTACAGGAATGTGGGAATGGGATTGGGATCACAGGCTGTTTCCCATTCCAGCTGGTGCTGGATTCCAGAAGCTCTGGGATTTGGGATCTGGGATCTGGGATCTCTCAGGCTGTTTTCCCGTTCCAGCTGGTGCTGGATTCCCAGAAGCTCTGGGATCTGGGATCTGGGATTTGGGATCTGAGGCTGTTTTCCCGTCGCAGCTGGTGCTGGATTCCCAGAAGCGCTGGGATTTGGGATTTGGGATCTGGGATTTGGGATCTGAGGCTGTTTTCCCGTTGCAGCTGGTGCTGGATTCCCAGAAGCTCTGGGATTTGGGATCTGGGATTTGGGATCTGGGATTTGGGATCTGAGGCTGTTTTCCCGTTCCAGCTGGTGCTGGATTCCCAGAAGCGCTGGGATCTGGGATTTGGGATTTGGGATCTGGGATTTGGGATCTGAGGCTGTTTTCCCGTTGCAGCTGGTGCTGGATTCCCAGAAGCGCTGGGATCTGGGATTTGGGATCTGGGATTTGGGATCTGAGGCTGTTTTCCCGTTGCAGCTGGTGCTGGATTCCCAGAAGCGCTGGGATTTGGGATCTGGGATTTGGGATCTGGGATTTGGGATTTGGGATCTCAGGCTGTTTTCCCGTTCCAGCTGGTGCTGGATTCCCAGAAGCTCTGGGATCTGGGATTTGGGATCTGAGGCTGTTTTTCCCATCCCAGCTGGTGCTGGATTCCCAGAAGCGCTGGGATTTGGGATCTGGGATTTGGGATTTGGGATCTGAGGCTGTTTTCCCGTTCCAGCTGGTGCTGGATTCCCAGAAGCTCTGGGATCTGGGATTTGGGATCTGGGATTTGGGATCTGAGTCTGTTTTTCCCATCCCAGCTGGTGCTGGATTCCCAGAAGCGCTGGGATTTGGGATTTAGGATCTGAAGTTTGGGATCTAGGATCTGGGATTTGGGATCTGAGGCTGTTTTCCCATCCCAGCTGGTGCTGGATTCCCAGAAGCTCTGGGATTTGGGATTTAGGATCTGAAGTTTGGGATTTGGGATCTCAGAGGCTGTTTTCCCGTTCCAGCTGGTGCTGGATTCCCAGAAGCGCTGGGATTTGGGATCTGGGATTTGGGATCTGGGATTTGGGATCTCAGGCTGTTTTCCCGTTGCAGCTGGTGCTGGGTTCCCAGAAGCTCTGGGATTTGGGATCTGGGATTTGGGATCTGAGGCTGTTTTCCCATTCCAGCTGGTGCTGGATTCCCAGAAGCTCTGGGATTTGGGATCTGGGATCTGGGATTTGGGATCTGAGGCTGTTTTTCCCATCCCAGCTGGTGCTGGATTCCCAGAAGCACTGGGATCTGGGATTTGGGATCTGATGCTGTTTTCCCGTTGCAGCTGGTGCTGGATTCCCAGAAGCGCTGGGATTTGGGATCTGGGATTTGGGATCTGGGATTTGGGATCTGAGGCTGTTTTCCCGTTGCAGCTGGTGCTGGGTTCCCAGAAGCTCTGGGATTTGGGATCTGGGATCTGGGATTTGGGATCTGAGGCTGTTTTCCCGTTCCAGCTGGTGCTGGATTCCAGAAGCGCTGGGATTTGGGATCTGGGATCTGGGATTTGGGATCTCAGGCTGTTTTCCCATTCCAGCTGGATTCCAGAAGCTCTGGGATTTGGGATCTGAGGCTGTTTTCCCGTTGCAGCTGGTGCTGGATTCCCAGAAGCGCTGGGATCTGGGATCTGAGGCTGTTTTCCCGTTGCAGCTGGTGCTGGATTCCCAGAAGCTCTGGGATTTGGGATCTGAGTCTGTTTTTCCCATCCCAGCTGGTGCTGGATTCCCAGAAGCGCTGGGATTTGGGATCTGTGATTTGGGATTTGGGATCTCAGAGGCTGTTTTTCCCGTCCCAGCTGGTGCTGGATTCCCAGAAGCTCTGGGATCTGGGATTTGGGATTTGGGATCTGGGATTTGGGATCTGAGGCTGTTTTCCCGTTGCAGCTGGTGCTGGATTCCCAGAAGCGCTGGGATCTGGGATTTGGGATCTGGGATTTGGGATCTGAGGCTGTTTTCCCATCCCAGCTGGTGTTGGATTCCCAGAAGCGCTGGGATCTGGGATTTAGGATCTGAAGTTTGGGATTTGGGATCTGGGATTTGGGATCTGAGGCTGTTTTCCCGTTCCAGCTGGTGCTGGATTCCAGAAGCACTGGGATCTGGGATTTGGGATCTGGGATTTGGGATCTGAGGCTGTTTTCCTGTTGCAGCTGGTGCTGGATTCCCAGAAGCGCTGGGATCTGGGATTTGGGATTTGGGATCTGGGATTTGGGATCTGAGTCTGTTTTCCCGTTGCAGCTGGTGCTGGATTCCCAGAAGCTCTGGGATCTGGGATTTGGGATCTGGGATTTGGGATCTCACGCTGTTTTCCTGTTCCAGCTGGATTCCAGAAGCTCTGGGATTTGGGATCTGGGATCTGGGATTTGGGATCTGAGGCTGTTTTCCCGTTCCAGCTGGTGCTGGATTCCCAGAAGCGCTGGGATCTGGGATTTGGGATCTGGGATTTGGGATCTGGGATCTGAGGCTGTTTTTCCCATCCCAGCTGGTGCTGGATTCCCAGAAGCACTGGGATCTGGGATTTGGGATCTGGGATTTGGGATCTGAGGCTGTTTTTCCCATCCCAGCTGGTGCTGGATTCCCAGAAGCACTGGGATCTGGGATTTGGGATCTGGGATTTGGGATCTGAGGCTGTTTTTCCCATCCCAGCTGGTGCTGGATTCCCAGAAGCGCTGGGATTTGGGATCTGGGATCTGGGATTTGGGATCTGAGGCTGTTTTCCCATCCCAGCTGGTGCTGGATTCCCAGAAGCGCGTTTTCTCCTGGGGCTTCGGGGGCTACGGGCGGCTGGGCCACGCGGAGCAGAAGGACGAGATGGTTCCCAGGCTGGTGAAGCTCTTCGACTTCCCGGGACGCGGCGCCGCCCAGATCTACGCGGGATACACCTGCTCCTTCGCCGTCAGCGAGACCGGTGCGAGCGCCGGGAGCGGGAATTCGGGATCTGGGATCTGGGAATGCCAAAGGGGCTGGCAGCGAGACTGGTGGGAACACCAGGATCGGGAATGCCGGGAGTGCCGGGATCTGGGATTCGGGATCTGGGACTTGGGAATGCCAAAGGGGTTGGCAGCAAGACCGGTGGGAACGCCGGGATCGGGAATGCCGGGAGCGCCGGGAACTGGGATTTGGGATCTGGGATTTGGGAATGCCAAAGGGGCTGGCAGCAGGAGGGGTGGGAATGCTGGGATCTGGGATTTGGGACCTGGGATTTGGGATCTGGGATTTGGGAATGCCAAAGGGGCTGGCAGTGAGACCGGTGGGAACGCCAGGATCGGCAATGATGGGAGTGCCGGGAGCTGGGATTTGGGATCTGGGATTTGGGAATGCCAAAGGGGCTGGCAGCGAGACCAGTGGGAACACCGGGATCGGGAATGCCGGGAGTGCTGGGGGGCTGGCAGTGGAACGGGTGGGAACGCCGGGATCGGGAATGCCGGGATCTGGGATTTGGGAATGCTGGGGGCAGGCACCATCAGTGAGACAGGTGGATTTGGGAATGCTGGGGGGCTGGCAGCGGGATGGGTGGGAATGCCGAATTTGGGATTTGGGAATGCTGGGAATGCCAGGGGGGCTGGCAGCAGGACGGGTGGGAATGCTGGGATCTGGGATTTGGGAATGTTGGCATCTGGGATTTGGGATCTGGGAATGCCGGCAATGCCAGGGGGCTGGCAGTGGGATGGGGGGGAATGCCAGGATTTGGGATTTGGGAATGCTGGGGGGGCTGGCAGCGGGACGGGTGGGATTGCCAGGATTGGGAATGTCGGGAATGCTAGAATCTGGGAATGCCAGGAATGCCAGGGGGGCTGGCAGCGAGACCGGTGGGAATGCTGGGATCTGGGAATGCTGGGGGCACCATCAGTGAGACAGGTGGGGATTTGGGATGGTATTCCCATGGACCTGGGATTTGGGAATTCTAGGGGATCTGTGCCCTGACGGGTGGGATTCCCATGGATCCAGAATTTGGGAATTCTGGGGGATCTGTTACCTGACAGGTGGAATTCCCATGGACCTTGGATTTGGGAATTCCAGGGGATCTGTGGCCTGACGGGTGGGATTCCCTTGGACCTGGGATTTGGGAATTGGGGATCTGTGCCCTAATGGGTGGGACTCCCGTGGATTTGGGAATTCTGGGGGATCTGTGCCCTAACGGGTGGGACTCCCATGGATTTGGGAATTGGGGATCTGTGCCCTAACGGATGGAAGTCCCGTGGATTTGGGAATTCTGGGGGATCTGTGCCCTAACGGGTGGGACTCCCGTGGATTTGGGAATTCCGGGGTTCCCCTGCAGGCGGATTGTTCTTCTGGGGCGCCACCAACACCTCCCGGGAGTCCACCATGTACCCCAAGGCCGTGCAGGACCTGTGCGGGTGGAAGATCCGCAGCCTGGCCTGCGGGTGAGTGCGGCTCCGGGAATTCCCGCCCCGGCCCGGGATTGGGGTGCCGGGACACTCGGGGACACGGGATCGCCTCCCTTGCAGGAAGAGCTCCGTCATCGTGGCGGCCGACGAGAGCACCATCAGCTGGGGGCCCTCGCCCACCTTCGGGGAGCTGGTACGCCCCAAAAACCCCAAATGACACCCCAAAAACCCCAAATGACACCCCGAATTACACCCCAAAATGACACCCCAAAAACCCCAAAATGACACCCTAAATGCCCCAAATAAAACCCCAAATGACACCCCAAACCCACCATCAGCTGGGGGCCCTCGCCTGCCCTCAGGGAGCTGGTACGCCCCAAAAACCCCAAATAAAACCCCAAATGACACCCCAAAAATCCCAAACTGACATCCCAAATAAAACACCAAAGGGACACCCCAAAACCCCCAAAAAGACCATTCCCTGTCCATGGGACCCAAATCCCACAAAGGAACACCCCAAAACCCCCAAAATGCCCAATCCCTGTCCTTGGGATGTTCCCGCAGGGATATGGGGACCACAAACCCAAATCCCCCACAAAGGGACACCCCAAAACCCCCAAAATGCCCAATCCCTGTCCTTGGGATGTTCCCACAGGGATATGGGGACCACAAACCCAAATCCCACAAAGGAGCACCCCAAAATGCCCAATCCCTGTCCCTGGGATGTTCCCACAAGCCCAAATCCCAAAAGGGGACACCCCAAAACCCCCAAAATGCCCAATCCCTGTCCTTGGGATGTTCCCACAGGGATATGGGGACCACAAACCCAAATCGTCCACGGCGGCGCAGGAGGTGAAAACCCTGGACGGGATCTACACCGAGCAGGTGAGGGGACCCCACAGGGCTTGTGGGGTCAGGGGGCGCCTGTGGGGAATCATTTGGGGTGGCCGAGGCCATACACAGCTCCCCACACCTGTGGGGTGAGCAAGAGGATCTATGGGGATTTATTTGGGGTGGCTGAAGCTGTGCCCAGGTCATGACACTCATGGGGTGATGCAGAGGGCACCCGGATTGCCCTAAAATAATTTGGGGTGGCTGAGACCATACACAGCTCATCCCATCTGTGGGGTGAAAGGAGGGCTCCTTTGGGGAATTATTTGGGGTGGCTGAGGCCATACACAGCTCATCCCATCTGTGGGGTGAGTGAGGGGATCTGTGGGGAATCATTTGGGGTGGCTGAGGCTGTGTGAGCTCCCCACACCTGTGGGGTGAGCAAGAGGATCTATGGGGATTTATTTGGGGTGGCTGAGGCTGTGTCCAGGTCATGACACCCATGGGGTGATGGAGAAGGCACCTGGATTGCCCTAAAATAATTTGGGGTGGCTGAGCCCATACACAGCTCACCCCATCTGTGGGGTGAGGGTGGGGATCTGTGGGGAATAATTTGGGGTGGCTGAGGTTGTGTGAACTCCCCACATCTGTGGGGTGAGCGAGGGAATGTATGGGGATTTATTTGGGGTGGCTGAAGCTGTGCCCAGGTCATGATACCCATGGGGTGATGGAGAGGGCACCCAGATTGCCCCAAAATCATTTGGGGTGGCTGAGACCATACACAGCTCCCCACACCTGTGGGGTGAGCAAGAGGATCTATGGGGATTTATTTGGGGTGGCTGAGGCCATACACAGCTCATCCCACCCGTGGGGTGAGGGAGCATCTGTGGGGCCCTTCCCTAAAATAATTTGGGGTGGCTGAGGCCGTGCCCAGCTCGTGACACCCGTGGGGTGATGGAGAGGGCACCCAGATTGCCCCAAAATAATTTGGGGTGGCTGAGCCCATACACAGCTCATCCCACCTGTGGGGTGAGGGTGGGCATCTGTGGGGATTTATTTGGGGTGGCCGAGGTTGTGTGAACTCCCCATACCTGTGGGGTGAGGGAGGGCACCTATGGGGATTTATTTGGGGTGGCTGAGGCTCTGCCCAACTTGTGGGGTGATGGAGAGGGCACCCGGATTGCCCCTAAATAATTTGGGGTGGCTGAGACCTGACACAGCTCATCCCATCTGTGGGGTGAGGGAGCATCTGTGGGGCCCTTCCCTAAAATAATTTGGGGTTGGGTGAGGCCGTGCCCAGCTCGTGACACCCGTGGGGTGATGGAGAGGGCACCCGGAGGCTCTTCCCTAAAATAAACAGGGAAACTGAGGCCGTGCCCTGCTCGTGACACCCGTGGGCCCCTCCCCTAAAATAAACAGGGAAACTGAGGCACGGCTCATCACATCCACGGGGCCCTCCCCTAAAATAGACAGGGACACTCCGGGGTGCATTCCCTAAAATAAACGGGGAAACTGAGGCCGTGCCCAGCTCAGGACAGCAGGATCCATTCCCTAAAATAAACGGGGCATTCCCAGTCCCAGCTGCCCCATTCCCTTCCCTTTTCCCATTCCCAGTTCCATGGGCCATTCAAATTCCCATTCCAGGTGGCCATGGGCAATTCAAATTCCCAGCTGACCCATTCCAGGTGGCCATGGGCAATTCCCGTTCCCATTCCAGGTGGCCATGGGCAATTCCCGTTCCCATTCCAGGTGGCCATGGGCCATTCCCATTCCAGGTGGCCATGGGCAATGGGCAATTCCCATTCCCAGCTGACCCATTCCCATTCCCATTCCAGGTGCCCATGGGCTATTCCCATTCCCAGCTGACCCATTCCCGTTCCCATTCCAGGTGGCCATGGGCTATTCCCATTCCCAGCTGACCCATTCCCATTCCTATTCCAGGTGGCCATGGGGAATTCCCACTCCCAGCTGCCCCATTCCCTTCCCTTTTCCCATTCCCAGTTCCATGGGCCATTCCCATTCCCAGCTGACCCATTCCCATTCCCATTCCAGGTGGCCATGGGCTATTCCCATTCCCATTCCCATTCCAGGTGGCCATGGGCAATTCCCATTCCCAGCTGAACCATTCCCATTCCCATTCCAGGTGGCCATGGGCTATTCCCATTCCCAGCTGACCCATTCCCATTCCCATTCCAGGTGGCCATGGGCTATTCCCACTCGCTGGTGATCGCCCGGGACGAGTCGGAGGCGGAGCAGGAGAAGCTGCGGAAGCTCCCGGAGTACAACCCCCGCACCCTCTGAGGGGCCCCGATGATCCCGATGATCCCGATCCCGCTTCTCCATCCCGCCCGCCGTGCTCCGTCCCCGCATTCCCAGCCCTGGGGGGGGCCATTCCCACCCCCGTTATTCCCGGCTTTTGGAATTCCCGACCGCAGCCGGGCCTTCCGGCGCGTCCCGCCCCGGCTTTTGTAGGGTCTGGCCTTGAATTGTTTTTTATTTTATTTGTATTTTTCCGCAGCTTTTTTCATTTTTACTGTTTCCCGTTTTTCCAGCCCCGAATCTCCGTGGCTGCCGGCTCGGGATCGCTTTGGGGATCTGATCCCGACTTGGGATCCCTTTAGGGATCTGGGATCCCTAAGGAGCAGCTGCCAACGCCTGGTTTTTCCCCTGTGCTCCCATTTTTCCCAATATTCCCATTTTTTGCTGGTTTTCCCTCCTTTGGGTGCTACAGTTTTCGGGATTTCCCCCCTCCCACCCCTCCAGCATCCGCAGGGATCCCGGATCCCATCCCAGCAGCATTCCCGGATCCCATCCCAGCAGCATTCCCAGATCCCATCCCAGCAGCATTCCCGGATCCCATCCCAGCAGCATTCCCAGATCCCATCCCAGCAGCATTCCCGGGCTCCCCGCCCTCGCCCACCCCGGGGACATCTCAGGGATCACGAGGGGAGTCCCAAAGGAATTTTTTTCCCGGGAATTTGGGTTTTTTTTCCTTCTGGCGGATGGTTTGGCCCGGGATCGGCCGGAATTCCCGCGTTCCCAGTTCCCTCCGTGCCAGGTCACTGTGCTGGAATCTCGAGGTGCCTTCAGGAGCAGAGCCTGGCTCTGCCCCGCGCCATTCCCGCTCCCTTCGGGCCGTTTTTAGGGATTCTCCTGGATTTTTCCATGGATTTTTGCTCCTTCCCATCTCCCCCGGGGCGGCGCTCGGGGAGTTTGCAGTAAAAAAAAATGGGTTTTGGTCAATTTTTGGGATCCGGGGTCGTTTTCCAGGGGGGGTTTGGAGAGGGGAGATCCCGGCCGGGGGAGCAGCCAGCGGGAAAATCCCAAATCCCGGTTTTTGGGATTTGGGGGGTGGGGAATTGCCAAAACCCCGCTCCTGCCTTCCAGAGGAATTCCCAGGTTTGGGAAGGATCCAAGGCTGCCATTCCTGCATTCCCGTGGGGTCATTCCTGAGGATTTCCCAGCTCGGGAATGATCCAGTGGGGGTCATTCCCCATTCCCGGGGAATTCCCAGGTTTGGGAAGGATTCGGGTGTGCCATTCCCAGATTCCCAAGAAATTCCCAGGCTTGGGAAGGATCCTGGATGGGGAGAGGATCATTCCCACATTCCCAGGGGTCATTCCCACATTCCCTTGGGGTCATTCCTGCATTCCCAAGGGTCATTCCCACATTCCCTTGGGAATATTTTGTTCCCAAAAGGCCCTGGAGCTGACACTGCCTTTTCCCAAATCCCAATCCAGGCTCCATCCCAAAGCATTCCCGCTCCCGTTTTCCCTCTGGAATTTTTTAGGGACACAGCTCTGGGATCGGGGGTTCCTATCCCCGTTTCCCTCTGGAATTCTTTAGGGACACAGCTCTGGGATCAGGGGTTCTTATCCCATTTTCCCTCTGGAATTCCAAAGGGACACAGCTCTGGGATCGGGGGTTCCTGTCCCTGTGTGGGGTCGCTCCAAGGGAACAGCTGTGGATTTTGTCCCTCTGGAATTCCGGCGGGGCTCGGACACGGCCCCGTCTGGATCCCACTGGGACAGGGATGGGTTCCAGGGCTGGGATGGGAATGGGAAATGGAATGGGGAATGGGAATGGGGAATGGAATGGGATCAGTTCCCGGGCTGGAGGTGACGATTCCTACTGGGAATGGGAATGGGAATGGGAAATTAAATGGAAATGGGAATGGGAAATGGAATGGGATCAGCTCCCAGGATGGAGGTGCTGATTCCCACTGGGAATGAGCCAGGGATATGAATGGGAATGGGAATGGGAATGGGAGTGGGAGTGGGAATGGGAGTGGGTGTGGGAATGGGAATGGGAATGGGAATGGGAATGGGAATGGGAATGAGCAGGGAATGGGAATGAGAGTGGGAATAGGAGTGAGCAGGAAATGGGAATGGGAATTGGAGTGGGAATTGGAGTGGGAATGAGCAGGGAATGGGAATGGGAACGAGAATGGGAATGGGAGTGAGAATGAACAGGGAATGGGAATAGGAACAGGAATGGGAGTGGGAGTGGGAATGAGCAGGGAGTGGGAAGGGGAATGGGAATGAGAGTGGGAATGGGAGTGAGCAGGAAATGGGAATGGGAATTGGAGTGGGAATGGGAAAGGGTGTGGGAATTGGAGTGGGAATGAGCAGGGAATGGGAATGGGAACGAGAATGGGAATGGGAGTGGGAGTGGGAGTGGGAATGAGCAGGGAATGGGAATAGGAACAGGAATGGAAATGGGAATGGGAATGAGCAGGAGAGGGGGTCCCTGCCCCTCTGCCCCCCAGGTGAGCCCCCCCAGCACCTGCAGAGCAGCCCCAGCCCTGTCCCAGCACAGGGAGGAGCTGGAGCTGCTGGAGCCAGGCCAGAGGAGCTCCAGGGGGATCCGAGGATGGAGCAGCTCTGCTGGGAGAGCTGGGAATGTTCACCTGGAGAGGAGAAGCTCCAGGGAGAGCTGGGAATGTTCACCTGGAGAGGAGAAGCTCCAGGGAGAGCTCAGAGCCCTTCCAGGGCCTGAAGGGGCTCCAGGAGAGCTGCAAAGGGACTGGGACAAGGGATGGAGGGACAGGACACAGGGAATGGCTTCAAACTGAAGAGGGACAATTTGGATTGGGAAATATGGGATAAATCCTTCCCTGTGAGGGTGGGAAGGGGCTGGGATGGAATTCCCAGAGCAGCTGTGGCAGTGCTGGACGGGGCTTGGAGCAGCCTGGGACCGTGGGAGGTGTCCCTGTCCCTGCCCCTGGGAATGGATGAGCTTGAAGGTCCCTCCATCCCAACCATCCCATGACCCTGTAATTCCATATTTCCACGATTCCACAATTCCCTGATCCCACGTGGATTTTGGACAGCGGCTCCGGAGCCCAACCCACACCCGTTCCCCACCAGTTTAACCAGTCCAGCGTTCTCCCCGTGCCGGGAGAGCCCCGCGGAGCCCCCGCGGCCGCAGCCCGGATTTATTTCCGCCACCGAAGGCACTTGGCAGGGACAGGGCAGGGACCGGGGCGGGAGGGGACACGGAGGGGACACGGAGGGGCCGCGGCCACCTCAGGGCACCACGTCCCACCACTTGAAGGCGAAGGGCTTGCGGCGCACGTTGGTGCCGCAGTGGACATCCCCCGAGAGGACGTGGTAGGAGAAGAAGTCGTCGATGAAGGTGCAGGAGAGGCCCAGCGGCTCCAGCAGCTCCCGCACCCGCTGCTCCAGGCAGCAGCGCCCGCCCACCACGGGCCCGAAGGGTTTGGGGATGCCCAAGTGCCGGCCCAGCACCAGCATGTTCACCTGCGGCAGGGCGGGGAGCAACAGGGACATCCCGGTCCCATCAGGGACATCCCGGTCCCACCAGGGACATCCCGATCCCATCAGGGACATCCCAGCCCGGGGACATCCCGGTCCCATCAGGGACATCCCAGCCCAGGGACGTCCTGATCCCATCATGGCATATCCCAGCCCAGGGACATCCCGATCCCATCAGGGACATCCCGGTCCCACCAGGGACATCCCGATCCCATCAGGGACATCCCGGTCCCACCAGGGACATCCCGATCCCATCAGGGACATCCCGATCCCATCAGGGACATCCCGGTCCCATCAGGGACATCACAGAGAACATCCCGGCCCCATCCCGATCCCACCAGGGACATCCCAGCCCAGGGACATCCCGGTCCCATCAGGGACGTCCCGGTCCCATCAGGGACATCCCAACCCGGGGACATCCCGATCCCATCAGGGACATCCCAATCCCATCAGGGATGTCCCGATCCCATCATGGCACATCCCAGCCCAGGGACATCCTGGTCCCATCAGGGGACACCCCAGCCCAGGGACATCCCGACCCCGATCCCACCCCAGAGAACATCCCGGCCCCATCCCGATCCCATCAGGGACGTCCCAGCCCAGGGACGTCCCGATCCCATCAGGGACATCCCGATCCCATCAGGGCACATCCCAGCCCGGGGACATTCCAGCCCCAATGCCAGCCCTGATCCTGCCCTGGGGACTTCCCAGCCCCAATCCCAGCCCAAGGACATCCCAGCCCCAATCCCAGCCCAAGGACATTGCGACCCCGATCCCATCAGGGAATGTCCTAGCCCCAATCCTTCCCCAGGGACATCCCGGCCCCAGTCCTTCCCTGGGGACATCCCAGCCCCAATCCCATCAGGGGACATCCCAGCCCCGATCCCGGCCCGGGGAGCTCAGGGCTGCCGTTACCATGTCCGGGAAGAAGGCCTGGGCCTCGGAGGCGGCGTTGCTCTGGAAGAGCTGCGGGATGTCCACGATGTCCGGCTCGGCCAGGCCCAGCGAGCGCTTCAGGATGTCCCGGTTCCAGCTGATGCAGCTCTGGGAGGGACAGTGGGATGGGGACGTGGAGGGAGAACGTGGGGGAAAAGGGATGGAGGAACAAGGAGATGGAGTGTGGGATGGATGGATGGTGGATGATGGATGGATGGATGGATGGATGGATGGATGATGGATGGATGGATGGATGGATGATGGATGGATGGATGGATGGATGGATGGATGATGGATGGATGATGGATGGATGATGGATGGATGATGGATGATGGATGGATGGATGATGGATGGATGGATGATGGATGGATGGATGGATGATGGATGGATGGATGATGGATGGATGGATGGATGGATGGATGGATGATGGATGGATGGATGATGGATGGATGGATGGATGGATGATGGATGGATGATGGATGATGGATGGATGGATGGATGGATGATGGATGGATGATGGATGATGGATGATGGATGGATGATGGATGATGGATGATGGATGGATGGATGGATGATGGATGGATGATGGATGGATGGATGGATGATGGATGGATGATGGATGATGGATGGATGATGGATGGATGGATGGATGGATGATGGATGATGGATGGATGATGGATGATGGATGGATGATGGATGGATGGATGGATGGATGATGGATGGATGATGGATGGATGGATGGATGATGGATGGATGATGGATGGATGGATGGATGGATGGATGGATGG